GCAGGCTGATCCCCGCTTCCCTGCTCCACCTACAACCGTGCTGTGAATAGACCATCTACCCTTTCTGCAAAATCTGACATCTGTGCAGATTACCAGTTAATATTCTTGTTACGGCCAAGTTTTCCCAACCCTTTCAGTTTGACATTACAGGCAGTGTTTACCAGTCTTTCTAAAACTTCAGCAGCCTAATTCTGACAATCCTAGTCTCTCTCCTAGGGAGGGTAATGCCCTGTTCTGTTGAGAACTACTCTCAGCAAGTTCAATTTAAACAAGCTGCTGCAGCACAGTAACTACAGCATATGGTATCAAAAGAAATTTTCTGAGTTTGTGCTTTCGAAGTGCAAACACTTAAATATTCCTCATGACTTACTTTTTATAGTAAAAAGTGGCTGTAAAATTGATTTATTCTGCTACGTCACTACACTGCTTCTGACACCTCAGCAGACATTGTGCATCAACATCATTCTGGATTGTAATAAAAAACCTCTGCCACAAGTACAGCAGCATGCAAATCCTCATTTTACCCAACACAAACCTGTGAGTTCAGCGAGAATTTCTCGAACAGGCACTCCTCGTGTATAGCTAAAGCCATGAACTCTGTAAGCTGTTATCACATGGTCTGTAGGCTTTATGGCAGCTTCAAGCCCTACGCAGCAAGCCTCCTGTTACAAAGAAAAAGTCAATTTAGCAATGAAGAAAAGCACACAACTTCCCCAGCCAGCAGTCTAGCAAGGCCTACCTATGACCCCCCATACATCAAACCAGGAAGAGTACTGACACAGGAGACCTTTTAAATGTCGGGGGGGGCAGGCCTGGAGCTATAACAGCCTTCAGCTCTGAACTCCAACCTGATGGTGACTCACAAAAGCAGACAGGAGGGGAACTAGAAGCTGCAAAAGTCTGCAGACTTCCACCTCCCAGATGAAGCACCTGAACTGCTGCAATTCAAAAATGCCAGGCAGGAATGGGCAGACAGCAAAGCTTCACTTAGTTCATGAAATTCCTAATCCTGGCTGATGTTTTGCAGTGGCCACATGATCTATGAGACACTGCTTGAGGACAAGGATGTGGGCCTCCAAATGCACTGAATTTACTGTGCTGCAGTTGCTCATTCCTCTCATTCAGGTGATCTTCAGATGCACCTTGCCTTCTCTCTCTTCCTATTGCTATCCCAAGATCTCAGGGATTCCACTGTGTGCCAAGACACTGCTTTTAAAGAAATAATGAAATAAATCATGGATCCAACAACTACCTCAGACACTGTACATCTAGATTGACTCTCCCTTCTAGTCAGATCCCTACATTAAGTAAGGTAAGACAATATAAAATCTCCTGGACAAAGAAAAGTCTTACCTGGCCATCGTATAAGTGGCAGAAGCCACGAATGATCTTCTGCTTGTACAGCTGGTCAGACTTCAGCTCCATGCGTCGGATTATCTGCATTGTCTTGTAGTACTGGAGACCCTCCTCTCGAGTCATCACCGTGGTGGTACTGGGGCCTTCTTCCAGGCGATGAAGGTCACATTTCTGCAAAGTTGAACAAGTAGTTATTTCTTGAAAAGAATTCATCCTATTTAGGAATATCACACAGTTTTGGTTTTATGATGTGCTATTTTCAAATTCAGAGTATAATACCTTTTAAAAAAGAAAGCCAGCAAAACCTAAATTCATAGGTCAAAGTAAGCATATAGTTTGTGCGCAATTTCCCAATTTAGGGAACTAAAAACTTTGCTTCTAGTAAAGGCAGATTTCCACTCACAAAACAAAGCCTTGTAGTTCCCACTATCAGTAGATGAACTACAGTCCTCACAAAACATGGGAAAGGCGTGTTTCTACAGTTGTTGCAGGCTAAATATTTGGTAAGAGCTACAGAGGCTTAGTGAAGACACAACATAGTTTCCTTTGTGAAACAGTTTCTAAGATCTGGCTCTAAGACTGGACCTCATCTCTTCTACCATCCCTTCTACCAAGCAGTAATAAACCACTGCAGCACCAGCCACCCTGCTAGTCAAACCACCGTGTGTACTGCACAACTTCACTCCCAAACAATGGACTGCACTGAGGGAGAGCTTACTTTAGGCACCCATACAGAATAAATAAAAGTAAAAATAAAATAATCAAAAAGGAGTCAAGTTCAGTGGAACAGATAAAACAAATTACTCCATCCAGGCAGATTAAAGGACAAAACACTGCTATATCGGATAAAGACAACTTATATTAAAGCAAAAGCTACTTCTGCCAATAGAAGCGTTACTTTTTTCTACAACCTAGCTACAGTGGAAGCTGACAGAATATAACACACATACTTTTTGGGCAGCACCAAGTTAAACGCTAAAAGGCTGACATCATTTTTCCTCAAAAATCCATGCAGACCTCAATCAGCTGCACATCTGGGATACAACACCCGTGATTCCACAAATAAAAGGGAGATTGAAAGAAGGGTAGGCAGCAAACACCAGCTATTTGTTTTAAAACCAGTAGAGAAACATTAATACTCTTCCCTCAGAAGAGAAAAGGTTCTTGGGCAACTTTGTGACTCCACACTCACACCTGCATTGAACTACTGAACCTTCAGCTGCATTTAGAAATCAAGTCAGTCAGCAAGGGATTTGGTCTAGAAATTCAAACAGTATCTTACTAATTGAAAAAGATAAGGGTGTTAGGATCTACAGCACACACACACAGAGCCAGTATTACGTGCTCAGCTTCTTTACCTTAATTTCAAATGTAGCTTCATTTGCAAAGTCTGCGTAGTTACGTGATGCTACCATCACTCGAGAGGCCTTAAAAACAAAACCAACAAAAAAACCAAGACATGAACAATATTTAAACATTTACCAAGCAAAAGTAGGCAAATTCTCAAATAATTGCTAGCAGTACTCCCAAACTGAAATATTTTGTGAATTAAACTCACCAACTCTAAAATAAAAACAGGAAGTTTCAGAAGACTGTGAAGAGCATCAAACCCACAAAAATAATTACTTTTCCCTTCACGTGCCAGATCGCTCACACGAGTAGAGACAACCAACGCAGGTTTTGATGGCTCTCTGCGCTGACTGGAATTTTGTCTCAATAGAAAGAAAAATTATTTGGAAAAACAAACCACCACCACCCCAGCAGGTTTCTAGTGTATGCACTTCTCTTACTCTTTCTTTTCAATAGGAAGAGAAGCCGGGGGATGCAAGACACTGACAATGAAGGGGAATTTTGTTTCAGTGGGTAACAGTACGGCCACTACTTAGAAATTATACAGAAACATAAAAGGGAACATGCCTGAGGGTACATGAAATACAAAACATAAAGGGTGACAT